CAAAGCATGTTCATAGATCAAGTTCTTCGGCGGGTCAGAGCTCACTATTAATTAGTCGCGCGAGGATCTATCTCGACGTTCCTCGAATGGAAGAAATAAAGTGGTTTGAACGGGGGAACCGGCCCCAAAAAACCCCCCAAAACCCGAGCATGACACCACCAAATGTTGGAGTGTGTTAAAAAATGGGCTTCTTCCCTCACAAAGTATGTTCATAGATTAAGTTCTTCGGGGGGTCAGAGTTCACTATTAATTATTCGCGTGAGATCTATCTCGACGTGCTTCAAAATAACGACCGCCGAGGAGCGAACGGTTTGAATGAAAGAATGGTTGAGTGGTTTGATCGGGGAACCGGTTTAAAAAAAAACCAAACAACAAAAAAAAACCTGAGCGTGGCACCACCCGGGGCTTCAGTGTGTGAAAAAATCGGGCTCTTTTGGTTCACGCCTGTGTAACTTTTAGTTTTTTAAAAGTTTTAGTAGAGGTTTTACGGCGCTCGCAACTGCATAATATCATATTATGAGTGCCAGAAGGTAAGAGGTGTTACAAGAGAGTAACAAACATAAAACAAGAAGAAGGGGAGATAAGGACGATAGATGTTTGATAGGAGAGAAGAAGCAAACCATACCAGAGCACCCGCCGACCACCAACCTGTGTAACTTTGTTTGGTTTGGTCTGTCGGGGTCAGTCTAGCGAGCCTGTGCGGATTTTGCGTGGGGTTGGGTTTTTTTTTTGTGTATGCGTGTGTGACTTGGTTAATCCGATCAGAGGGCCTATATCGCCGGATAATGAGTCTATGCTGTGCTTTCTTCTTATATGTAGTACCCGAGCGGAGTAGATATACTAAGACGTCTTGCTTATCGACGTTTATTGGTAGCCGTTTTTAAGGTTACTCGGAACTAAATGGGAGTTATTATTTTTTTCGGGGGGAGGGGGGCGCAGGGGGTGGTCTAAGCCCGGAACAGCACCACGACATAACAAAGTCATGTGGGTGGTTGACGGGTTCTCTGGTGTGGTTTGCTTCTTCTTTCCAACCAGTGATTAATCATCTGTCGTCCTTATCTCTCCTCCTCTTTTTGCTTGTGTTTTTTTTTAATTGTGTGTGTGACTTGGTTAATCCGATCAGAAGGCCTATATCGCTGGATAATGAGTCTATGCCGTCTTTTTTTCTTATATGTTGTACTCGAGCGGAGTTGATACTTGTTATCAGGGGGGGGGGGGCATTAACCTGTTCTTATGCACAGCAGAATTGTAAATGGGCTGATTCATCAATGTCATGCTTATAACTAACTGTGCCTGAACTCCAACAGGGAACTGCTTCTTTTTCTTTCTTAATCTTTACTATCGTCATGTCATTTTCCCTCTACTTCTTTTGTATGTTTGTCACACTCTTGTGACCCGCTATTTCTGGGGTACCTTGATAGTCGAAGCAGACTTTGCGCTTTTGAAGCTAGAGAGGTGAGCAGAGTAAGCCTGATTCCTTGAAAGGACTTTTCTGTTGATATCCACCCCTTGGCGCTCATATGACCGTATGCAGTTGCGAGTGCCACAAAAATCTAAATAAAAAAAACAACAAAAACCATCATTTTGTTTATTTTATATATGTATATATGTATGTATATATATTGCTACCCGAGATTTTGATGTTGTACTTGCATTTGTTCTTTGGCAGTTCTAAGTGTATTTGCCGTTTTCCGGAAGATTCAACGCTTGGTTCGTTTTCGGAGAAACCAAGACGTTTCCTTTGCAAATGGCGTCTCAAAATTTCAAAGTACCAAACATTAAAAAGAAAGCCCTACTGGATGTAAATAAATGATCGTAGAGACATAAAACTTTGAGCACGAGATTGGAAATATTATCTAGGCTTTCTAAAAATATGTCGGGTTGCATTATGTGGCTCCCAATATCGGATAAATTTGGCGAAAGGGAGGGGG